CTAGCATGTACCAAAATAAGTAATGAAAAGCCACATTTCTATATTATATTATTTTTCTTATTAGTCATCATTATTATATATTACTTCCTGTACCATCAGAAAGCTTATTTCTATTTAAAAAACATGGATGGACATTAAATGAGTAGAGAGTAATTTATGATAAAAGTGAATTACAATAAATAAGGTGATTAGTAAGGCAAGATAATCATTTATCAAAAAATTGTTTCTCACCATACACTTTCTTTAAATTAGGGATGGAGAACCTTTCTTCTGCCCAGGGCTATTTAAATATTTATAACATCATTCCAGGGACATAAAAATTATTAACTTAAAAATTAGCCTGCTATATTTGGTCAAACATTTAATTAACTCACCCTTAATGTCTTGGCAGGGCCAGACCATATGATTTCGAAGGCCTTCTATGGCCTGGGACCTGCTGTTCCCCATCCCTGCATTAAATAATCAACTACCATAATTATTTCTTAGGTAAAGATTCAGAAAACAATATCAATAAAATATGCAACCTTTCAGAAATCTGTGGCTGTTGCTAACTCTTTTTATATTATAAACAAGAAATCATCTTTTATCAGAGTTATATAGAAATTAAACTTCATCTGTAACTGCACTTTGATTATAGAAAAGTTGAGTCTATACTGAGCCTAAGCCATAATATTTTGAATATATCATTCATTACTTCATTTATTATTTCAGAAAATATTTATTGAGCACTTGCTTCCTAAGCACTATGCTAATTAATTGTTCCTTACTTCATGCCCTTATCTTTTCATAATCCACTTCTGAAACCTTACAAATTTCAATAGTAATATCATATGGCTCTGAGGGTAGCAGTAGCAATATTAATATTAATATAACCAAAAAAATCTATCTATATAAACTAGACCACCCGAGTAACAAAATAATTTTATTACAAGTTATCATATTTTTAGAAGACAGTTAATTGAAATTTAAATATGATTATAATTTCCAGTAAAATCAAACATCATTTTGAAAAAATAAGACCATTAACAATGTCAAATATTCACATCTTCATTGACATTATATGCCAATCAAATTTTAAAAGTTAATGAAATGGCATTACACATTTTGGCAAGACTGGAGTACCTTATAATGTGTTCTATCAACTTTCCATCTTATTGTTTAATTCTATTAATTATTGGGGAAAATATAATTTTTATAAAAAATCAGTACATGGTTTATACATGGTTGGCCTTGAAGGTTTACAAAAATTTTATAGCAGTTTAATAGATACTTTAAATTTCTAACTTTTATAGATAAATGACATAAAGCATATCATCTATGATTTTTTTCATTTTTAAGTCAGTTATATTCATAACACAAAATCAAACAACAGTAATAGTCTATACTTCTACAAATCTGTTTTCCTTTTAAATTCCCAATCTTGAAAAAAGCAGAAGAAATGATTTGGAGAAAATCAAGATAAACTGAAAGGTACCTAAATAACCTCATAAAGTAGCCTCTGAATATTCCCAAATCTAAGTATCATTATTAAAAATACTTTTGCTCTGTCACTGGAAAACATCAATTATGGTCCTTATACCTTTCATTTCCTTTCCTTCCCTTCTTTTATCTTTCCTTGCCCCCTTCCTCAGTCTCTCCCTTTCTCTCCCTCCTCTCCACCTCTCTCTCTTTGCTTTTTAAATATCTAACTGCTCTTTCTCTTCCCATTCCATGTGCCCAACATTATGGGAAGGAGAGGTAAACTTCTGTGGTTAAAAGAAAAACACCAGCCTTGTGTTAATTTTCATGGTATGTTCAAAATGTAGAATAAGTGACTTGTCTCCATATCAGCAACGTGCTAAGTCATAACTTATAGGCAATGAGAGAAAAAGGAGTGAGACAGAAAGTTTTCATTGGCCAGATTTAGACTAAAACTGGGTATGAGTAGTTGGTGCAGGAGTGAACAGGGCTAACTAATCAGGACGTTTGGTAAGCCCCAGGGAACCAATGTCCATTTTCCACTTGCTAGTCAAGGACAGGCTCTCAGATCAAGGGAGAGTTTGAAGATAGCAAATCCAAGAGGAAGGGTATCTAGAGGCAGACACTGAGTTCAAAGTGACTGGCTAGGCAAGACCATGAGAGGAGGTTCAGAAAGGAGGCCAGCAGAGGAGCTGTGGGAGGTCCTGGGGCTGGCCTGAACATCTAGAAACTCAATCCATTATGCATGACGATTGTAAGCCCGCATTTGACCAGAAATGGAAAGAAAAACCCATTCTTGTAGACTAAAACTCTTTGACCATAAAACACACAACAGTGGGTGTGTAATTTAATAACATGGCCCCTTACGACTTGAGAGTGATCACTGTAGAACCTTTTTGCAGGGTAAATGTGTAATTGGTTCTAGATCAATAAGCAATTTCTTCCAGGAGCAAAAGCTCTTGTTTCCACTTTTATTTATTTTTTTTGAAGTAGCAGGGCTCTTAAATCAGAATGGAGCAAATACATTTAGGAAGTTGAGATTATGCTAAACAGCAAGCATCCTTACTGCACTAGTTTAGTTTATCTCAACTGGTCATTTATTTATGACACCATAAAAATCCAGATGCTTTCAGTTTTGATTGTTAGGTATTTGCTGAAAGGCAGCTGAAATTACTTTCCCAGAGTCCCATTTTTAAAAAATATATATGTTATTGATTTTTTACAGAAAGGAAGGGAGAGGAATAGAGAATTAGAAACATTGATCAGCTGCCTCCTACACACCCCCTACTGGGGATGTGCCCGCAACCAAGGTACATGCCCTTGACGGGAATCAAACCTGGGACCCCTGAGTCTGAAGGCCAACGCTCTATCCATTGAGCCAAACTGGCTAGGGCCCCAGAGTCCCATTTTTGACAACTGCATTTTGAATGAAAAATTTACAACCGTAAATTTAAAACAGTTCAATAATGGTCATGCTGAAGTGTTTTGTTTTCTTTCCAACATTAACAATGAATTCAGCTCCTGGTGGTCAGTGTAAACTCCCTACTCAGTGTATTTGAAATTCTATAAGTATAATAGAAAACTAAGATTAAGAAAATAAACAAACTCCTAGATACTGAGAACAAACTGACAGTTGCCAGATGGGAGGGCAGAAGAGGGTGAGGACTGAAAAAGGTGAAGCGATTAAGAAGTACAAACTGGCAGTTACAAAAGAGTCACAAGGATGTAAATTACACAATAGGAAATATAGTCCATATTGTAATAACTATATCTGGTGTCAGGTGGGTACAACACTTATTGGGGGTGATCATCTGATAAGTTACATAAATGGCTAATCACTATGATGTATACCTAAAACTAATAAAATATTGAATGTCAACTGCAATTAATAAATAAAAATTAATGAAAATAAATGAATAAAATGTTGAAAATTAACCCCTTCCCCAACAATTTTTTTGTTAAAAACGTTTCTTTTTCAGACTAATTTTTTTATTTTGGTTCTATATAGTATTTTTGATGCTGGTTATGAAAACAGTTTGTAACTCGTCTTCCTATAAACCATATTTTTTTACCATATTTTCTTAGTATACTCGTCGACGACTGAAAAAGAACATTTTGTGAAAACGAGTATACACGTTTCTGCCGGGGAAGGGGTTAAGGTTCTGAAGAAGTCTGTGATAACATATTTTCGTGTTTGGTGATTTTCCTAACATTTTAAGATGAGTGCCTAAGGGGAAGAACATGTTGACCTAATCAAATATCCTTTGAGGCACAGGTAATGGTAAAGGGAGAACTTATAGGGATAGACAAAAACAAAACCAACTTACATGATCGCATGAGGCAGAAGAGATAAACTATACCTCAAGGATTAAAAGGGGCATGAAGAGATTTATATGCTTCTGGAACCTCCCAGAAGATACGTTAGACCAAGAAATATAATGATAAGAACCCTTGACAGTTTATAAATACGTGACATGGTTCTTATTTTTTTAAAATATATTTTATTGATATTTTACAGAGAGGAAGGGAGAGGAATATAGTTAGAAACATCGATTAGAGAGAAACATCCATCAGCTGCCTCCTGCACACCTCCTACTGGGGATGTGTCCACAATCAAGGTACAGGCTAATGACCGGAATCGAACCTGGGACCTTTCAGGCCAAAGCCCAACGCTCTATCCACTGAGCCAAACCAGTTAGGGCATGGCTCTTATTTGGACATATCAGTCAAACATTAACATCTCTAAACAATGAAAGCCTGCCTGTGCTTCTTTGCAAATATTGCAAGGAAATGAGGACATGCAAAATTGCAACCGTACAAATAGGTAACAATGCAGAGAGGTAGGGAAGAGTTCCCCAGCTCTACTCTGTGATGGCAACGTTAAAAGATAAAGAACGCTTTTCATTTATAAACTATTATTTGCTATGTACTATGTGCTGACTAAATTCTTGTGGGAGGCTTAGAGATTGGAGAAAAGGAAAGGTCCCAGGATGTAAAAGGCATTCTGTTTTCACGACACTCATGTATTAAAAATAAGTGTAAGACAGCACAGAAACAATGTTTTTGCCATTTTCTTTCACTGCCCCGAATATCTATAAAGTTTCCTTTTCTCCCATCCATGGCATGTAAGTTCAGACCATTCCCTATCCGGGTTGGGAAATACATAAGGACACTGGATCCATCTCTTTTGATGTCACCGGTATTATAACCCCCAGCTTCCAGCCAGAAGAAATGACATCTACAGGGCTGCCTAAAGGCACTAAAACACACCGAAAATAAACCTTTGTAGACAGGTAACTGAGAGGAATTCACACTTAAAACAAAAGCACAATATTTTCTATGATGAAGAACATTTCTTATCAATTATAATAGTAATAGGTATAAGATTTTATTACTCTTGAATGTATTTATATTTTCTGTACCAAAAGTTCTGGTTGCTGGGGAGAGAAACAAAACCAACAAACTAATTATAAGTAACTTACCAAACAAATAAAACCCTAACAGTGAAATGCAAAGCTGAATCTTATTTTTAAAGTACTTACTATATGCAGCTCTAGGTAGTCCCCCAGGCCAGAAGAACTGTCCACACGCACCAATACAGCTTCTTTCTGAACAGTGCTAAACCCTATGGCCAGTCTGTCTGCTCGCGTACTTGGCCGGTCATTAGGAGGCCACTTATATGTGATTTGTCCACCGCCTTTGCTAAAGATATACGTTGTCCCAGCTGGAAAACAAACAAACAAAAAGACAATTAGTCCAAATATGTGAGATATACCTTTTCCCATATCTGTTAGGTTGACATATCAGTAAAGTATTAAATTTATATTATGGCCACATTAAAAACAAACAAACAAAAACTTTGGCAAAGCAAATAAGCAAATAGCAGATTTCAATCACACATTCTCAAGTAAAAGATTTGTTGTATTTTTTTAAAAGAAATATCATGGCAGCTCAGTTTTTAATACACTCATTAAATCTCCCAGCAGGTGTTTCAGAACAAACGGGAGATTATTGCTTTTTCAAAGGAGTTGGACAAGCATAGAATGTAATGGGGTTTTATTTCTTTCTGACAGTTTTTAAGAAATAGTGTAGTAGGAAACATTGACTTTGGACGCTTGTGAAAGGAACAGAAACATATATCAACTTGGTCTTGAAACAAGGGCTGCATGCAGATGTGACCGGGCCATGCAGCACAGTGAAGCAAATCGCGACAAATACGCTGCGAATCAACTTTTACGGGGAACATGTCTGTTCACATATGACAGATGATAACTAATGATGAACAGCCATAAGCCCCAGTGGTCATGTCAAGAAAATACAGATATTAGATCCTATCCATAGAAGTCAAGTCTTATTTAACAAGCAACATCTAGTAGCTGTCACACTACCCAGCATCATGGAAAGACCCATTCTTTTTCCCCCACAAAGTGAATACTAGTCTTGCAGCACTAAGAATAATGTCATAGCCACATGCGGTGAATGTTCAGACTTTACTTTCTGGTAGTTATGTCAGTAAATTATCCATCTTACTTTAAAAACAGGTGTGTGGTTTTTGCTTTGTTTTGTTTTTTTCTAACAGGTATACTAAGCATCCAAGGCATTTAAGTCTTTTTTTGTCTTTGCTCCCCTGGAATTTATCTCACTGGGTGCAATAAAATCAATTGTTTCAGTCAGGATATTTGGAAGAGATGTGCAAAGATATATACAATGCAAAGAAGATCTTCCTCAACACACAGAAGTATTTATTGTTACCACAGGAACAGAATGTGGGGTACAATTTATAGAGGGATGTGTAGCCTTCCAACAACAAAAAATGCCACTACATATTTAATGTGCACCTACTATGTGCTGAACATGATTAGGAGAGCAGTAAGAGTGAATATTAAAATTTAGGCCACGAAACATCTTGTGTCTATGGAAAAATAGCTTCTACCAAGAGAAAGCCTTCTGTGTAAAAGTTGTATGTTCCTCGGTATGTTTTCAAGATATCTGCCTATCAAATTTCTATGATTACCAAATTTACCAATTAAATGAAGTTGACAATATCACACTCATGTATATTTAATTAAATAGTTAAAAATATCAATTTTTTCCCTTTAGTGTATTGTGGAGCCAGCTTTTCTCTGCATTATGTCTAAGTCATTTCCATGGTCCAGTGGTCGGCAAACTGCAGCTCGCGAGCCACGTGCGGCTCTTTGGCCCCTTGAGTGTGGCTCTTCCACAAAATACCACGTGCGGGTGTGCATACAGTGCGATTGAAACTTCGTGGCCCATGCGCAGAAGTCAGCGTTTTGTGGAAGAGCCGGTATTTTGTGGAAGAGCCACAGTCAAGGGGCCAAAGGGCCGCATGTGGCTCGCGAGCCGCGGTTTGCCGAGCCGCAGTTTGCCGACCACTGGACCCTTGGGAAACTTGAAGCACTGTGCACTCTGCCGGCCGTGCCTGACTGCTTTAAAATGCCTTGGTACATGGTCCTGACCCAAGAAGCGTGCCAGGACCATATTGAATGTAAAAGTGACAGAACAGAAATTTGTGGAAAATGCAACAGTAGAGAAGCTGTGCATGTCTCCATTGCATTTTTTGGATACTAATAAATAAACGTAGTTTCTCTCTCTCATGTGAGAATAGGTAGGTTATATTTAAAGGCACGAGCCCCTGTGCAAGCGAAGAAAGTTCAGAACATACAGATCTGTGTGCCAGGAACGCCAGAGCCTTCGGGACCATTAGAAGACTGCTCGTCTGGATATTAACAAGGAAGCACTATGTGATCAGTATGTTCCTGCTTGGTAATTTTTGTAGGTGATTAAGTGTTCCATGCTTCAGTAACGCCTACATCGATAAAAATAGGACAAGAACACTCAAAAGTGAAGATTTCTTTAAAACGCAGATGTGGAGATGTGGTGACCTCTGAATGCTGGTACCTAATTTTATTTTCTCCCTTTTAGTTAACTTTGTTCTCTAATGACGACGCATTGCATGTGAAGTAAGAAAAACATTCAAAACCAGAGATGCTACTTGACAATATAAACCGTATGAGAATCCAGGTGTTTCTCAGACACATGCAAGGAAGGCAGTGTTGCAAAGCAGAAAATACCTTACATTATCTTACAACATTATCTTACGGCAATTTTCTTTTATTTTCTACTTCTGCATGGAAAGTAAGGCCAGCATTGCTCCCCTGTTGCATTTGAGGAAATTTAGCCATAAGGATTGGCTTGTTATCTCATGTTGCAAACTTGGTTACCTCGCAGACCTGTAGGAAACCTAGTATCCAGGCTCTGACTCCCGTGTGGGACTTTTTTTTTAATTACAGAAATGTTTCTGTTATGATAACAAGACGGTCAAAAAAAAGTTAATTGGATATGTCAGTCTGAATTTATCAAGGCCAACTGTTATCATATTCTAATGTCTCATATCCATAAAGTGACATTTGCACTTCATGATCATATACTGTCCTTTCACCCCACAATGCTTTCAGAAAAGAAAAAAAAAAGTCACATATAAATGTGAAATGACAGGACATTTAATATATGTAGGTCAACATTTGGTTTAGGGTACACTTCCCAAACTTATGGAACTATGAAAGTTCCCCATTGCCCGGTTACAGGACTTGAGGATAATAATTTAAAGTCTTATATTTTCAGCAAGATAAATGTCACAATACAAATATCATTACTCAAGATTTGATTTCAACCTTTCCCAATAAGTGTTACAGCTTGGCCACTAGCATGCTATTAGCTACTCTGTCCTCCTTACAATGACTTTCCAATTCTTTACGTTTCATCCAAAGCAAAAGCAGTTTTGATACCCTGGGTCAAACAATACAATTATGTCTAGTGTCCTCTTTCTCCCGATAAATCTGAAAGGCAATCTCTCTTCCTTTTTCTTCTGTATGCACAACAATACATGAATTGTACTCATCGGCACAGTTCCATAATAAGCAAAGGAATTAGATGTCCAGCCATGACACAGTTCTCTCCTACCGACCTCTTGTAAGCATCTTAGTTTCCTTTTTAAAAAAAAAAAAAAAGTCACTTTGCATCAGTCTACAAAAATCTCTGTGTTCTTAAAGCCCTCATTCCATCAAGATAAGAAATTGCCATATACTCTGCATTTTGGTAACCTTGAGAATATGAGCATATTCCAACAATAAAATATAGTGGGTCAGATGACTAACATTTCCAAATCTATGTCCTTTAAATTCCATCTTTCTGAACCAAGGGTAATGATGTTCTTACTGAAGCAGCATCATTAAGACATTAAGATTGTAAACTCTGGACTCAGGCACAACTGAGCTCAAATTCCAACTGTATCATTTACCAGCTACATGATCTTGACAAAACTATTTATTCTAAGTCTTCTGTTTCCTACCTGAAAAAAAAAATCGAGCATAATAACACTATTATCTTATGAAACTTCTATCAGGATTAAATGGCATACTGCACAGTAACACTTTAGTCCCACTTCTGGCATATAGTAAGTGCCCAATACATTTTACAGAAAACAGATGAAGTGTTTGTATGTATGTCTGTGGTGAAAAAATAAAATGACTAATATTGCAACATTGTTGCTGGATCTTGCTATAAGAACCTTCAGGAAAGTTTAACTTATTTCTAAGTTATGTTCAAACCAAATGCCTTTTAAGAAATGACTTTATTAGACCCCCATTTTTATTAGTCTTTTCAGTATTTCATTCCTTGGATTAGCACTTTTTTCCATAAAAACCCATTATATCATCCATTACTTACATCCACTAATAATTGACAATGGGGAGGATATTAAATTGCATCAAATGGGAGCTTTCATGAGAAAAATAGTATTAGTTCATCACCATAAAGCATCTAGGATGGGAAGAATTATAGCTTGATGCAAAAAACTGACTGTGACTATTAAATAAAGAAGTAAGCCTATACAAGATAAACTGCAATCTAGCTTTATTTTTAAATTTTTATTTTTATAGGAACATCTTTTATGTTATAATATAAGTGAATTCAATGTGCAGCAACAGTGCATCTTAATCAGTTGCAAGCATTTTATCGACATGACGGAATGTATCGCCGTCATTATTATGCCTGCTTCTATATGCAAGCACTGACACTTCAGTGCCATGACTACTAATGGATTTATTGCGGATTAACCTTGACATCCCTCACATCACTGAATGTATGGGTGACTCAAATCCAAAGTGGTTTTCAGCAATCTCCACATTTAAGTAGTGCAGCAAGTCTACACTCATCACTCCAAATTGATTAACAAAGCTGGCTCCATCAGATGCAAATTTAGCAGTATCCATGCACTTTACACTGCAAAAAGTGTTTGTACAATTTACACATGGGGTCTTATTTCTAATGTCTGAACTGCTTGTGATTTTAGAAGAAGATATATCTTTAGACTTTATTTAACATATATTTACATAGGGGACTCTCTTCCCTTCTTCTCTTTCTTGCCAACCATTTCGTCCCTAAATGTGCTCACTTCTGCCTCACGTGTTCCTGAAAAAGCTAGTATATTCCCCCAAATGAATTGAACATTTCTGAAAAAGAAAACCAATAAGCATGCACAGGTATGGCTTGATTATTGGTGGCTCTGGATCCTTGCTACATGAACAATAAGATAATTAACTTCTGAATAGATTAGCTTCTAATTCTTAACATAACTAAATTAATAAAAGATTCTTTTCTGAAATCCTATAATTCTTCAAAAAGTCATTGTGTAGCCAACATGAA